GTACATTAATGAGGAAAAAAAATTAACTTAAATGATTTTAGCAAATGGCTGCAATATAACAAAGAGTGAAAAATTTAAGGGGGTCTGAATACTTTCCGTACCCACTGTATATGTGTTTATTGAAAGATGGATTTGTCTTGAATAGGAGGAGCAAGTTAAGGCAGAGGCTGCGTGCAGTAAACTTGATCAAACCTTGAAGATCTTGGAGAAGAAACTCGAGGATCATCAGGCTAATATTCAGGCCATGAAAGATGAGTTGTCACTCAGAGAGGAAGAAATGCAGGTGATCACTCCTTCATGCTTTTTATATCATATAATATAAAACATTCCTTGTCGTAAAAAATTAGTAGTGACATTTTACTTTAAGGACCAATTCTCACTATTAACTAGTTGCTTCTTAATATGCATATTACTAGCATTTTGGCTGTTTATTAGTACTTATAATGCACATATTCTGTATGACCATATTTTATATCCCTTAATCCTACCCCAGACCTAAACTTAACAATTACCTTGCTAACTATCAATAAGCAGCAAATTAGGAGTTTATTGAGGGGAAAACTCTTAATTAATAGTGAATATGTGTTCCCTAATCTAAAGTGTCACCAAATGTGCATATTGTTTTCATCTAAACAGCAGTATGGCAAAATATAGGACTTGTTCATTGTTTGGAAATGGTTTGCTTTTGTAGGATTGTGAAGCCAAAGCCAAAGAGATCTGTCCTGTGCGACAGCAGGTAGATCAGAGTGCCAGATGTATCGATGCCCAAATCACACGCCTACGACAAAAAATCAGTACGGAAGAGAGCAGCCATGGTGACAAGGAACATGTTATCAGGTATAACCAGCAGTGGTTTCAAAAGAGTCTTACAGATTCAGTATAAATGAAGCTCCACTGACACAAATTTGGAACGTGCATTTTATTTCATTTTATTTTATTTTAGATCTTGCATCATTTTTAAGGATATAGTTTTGACTGATAGCTCATTTTATTTTATTTTGATTTTTATAATTTTTATTTTGTTCTTTTATTTTATACACTGGAAGTAGCATTTTGGAGAATTAAAAAGCAAATATGTAAAGCCTGTATTTTTTTGACATGGAACTGAAATAAACTACTGAAGAATGTATTTTTCCAGAGAGTACGCAGAGGCTCACAGTAATTACAAAAGCAAATCCAGCCAGCTGAGGGATCTCAGGAAGTTTATTGATCGTCTCGACCACATCATGATTGACCGTCAGGACCGATACAAATCAATGCGACGGTAACTTAGTATAACACTGTTAATCACAGTTGGAGGCTACAGTATGTTTCTGTTTAAAAGATCGCCACTCCTGTCCTTAAATTTTGCAGGTTTGAACCGTGTCTGTTTGGAATTGTGTTTCCAGGTCACTTTCTGTGAGGTGCAAGCTGTACTTCAACAACTTCATGATGCAGCTGAACTGCAGTGGCTCTATGATGTTTGATCACATCAATGAATCTCTGTCCATTTCAGTAAGTTACATTTGGCAGTAAGTTTTATTTTAACTTCAGTTTGCTCAAATGTTTGACTGAAGCAAATTAATCAACTAACGGGATGAATCTCCTGAAAATATCTCCGGGTCATATATTATTATATATATTTGTATTATTACAGATTTTTTGAAAATATTTTAATCAAGGCTGCATTTATTTAATCACATATATAGTTAAATTAGTAATATTGTGAAATATTATCACAATTTATAATAACTATTTGAATATACTTTATATTTCTGTGATCAAAGCTGAATTTTCACCATCGTTACTCCAGTCTTCAGTGTCACATGATCCTTCAGAAATCATTGTAATATGCCGATTTGCTGCTTAAGAAACATTTATTATTATCAATGCTGAAAACAGTGCTGCTTCATATTTTTGTGGAAACTGAATATATTTGTGAAACTGTGAATACCGGATTTTGATGTATACCTAGTGTTAAAGTAAGTGCACAACATCCTGGGTTTTTTTGTGATGAATGTTGCTTGTTTCGGCTCAGGTGAAACCCCCCGGTCAGGAAAAAAACAATGTCAATGACATGCGTTCCCTCTCGGGAGGCGAGCGCTCCTTCTCCACTGTCTGCTTCATTCTGGCACTCTGGGAAATTACTGAGTCGCCCTTCCGGTGCCTGGATGAGTTTGATGTCTACATGGTACATACTCTTACCTATATAATGACTTTGAGAACACATGCCATGCGTTAAACATTAAAGGGGTCATTGGATGCTACATGCACTTTTACAAGTTGTTTGTTATGTTTGTTTTTTGAAGAGAATGAGCCCCCGATCTACATAAATGCATCTATATTCGCGCGAATCATTCGTGATCCAGCTTCACTCACAGAAGAAGTGAGTATAAGGTTTTTTAATGAATCTTTGCAAATCGCCTTTCCTAATCGGCTTGATCTGAAAAGAACTGTTTTTGACAGGGTAAAAAAGGTGTTTTTTACACTACCATTGAGACATTTTAACCAAACTATGTTACAGACTTTTCATTAAGACCCTAAAGAATCATATCAACTTGTAGAAAATGGGCATCCAATGACCCCTTTATTATTTGACATGTAAGTATTTCATATGTTTAATAAAGCTCTTTTGTATTTTTAAGGACATGCATAATCGCAGCATTTCAATGAACATGCTTGTGGCACTTTCAGAACGTCAGCATGTGCGACAGTTCATCTTCATCACCCCTCAGTCCACCAGGTAAATAAAAGTTATTAAGCATTATAAGGTGAATCTCACTCCAAAACATGTCTGGTTGATATTTCACCCCAAAACAAAAAATTTAAAAGTTAATGAAAATCATGTTCTCCATCCGCAGCTTTCTAATCTTTGTTTGAAAGTTAAAAACAGCATAAATTGTTTTCTGACATTTTTATATTAAAAAAAACACTTCTTTAAATGAATTCAAACCCATTAAAGAGAGTTTAAGACAGGTACAAATCATGGGTGTTTAAAAATGAGAACTTCAGTATGAATATCATCATACCATAAAGACTTTAATGGATGATGCTTGTTTTTAGGACCATCAGAGGTTGCAAATGCAATTTGTCAAAAATTAAAGATTTTTCATCAGATTTTCATTCATATAATACAGTAATAAAACCATAATTTCTGGACACATACTGTAGATTTCCTTTCTTTTTTAAAATGCAAATCTGCATAAATTTAAATTCAGTACAACAAAAGTTATCATGATATATATTTGTAATTCAGTGCTGAAATATGACCGATTCTTGAAAGTTTTTGTGAGATGCTATATGTATCTCAGAGTAACAGTGTTCATTCATTATCAGCTTTTCCTGTCTTCATAATCGCAGTTATTCAGGCAGGAAATGCAAACAGTTTGTAGACCACAAACCCTAAAGCAGGTTTCTTAATGGCTTGCTGAACTAGTGCTTAGTTAATTAGTTTGCAGTCATTAGGTAATCAAATGCATAATTGTAAACCAAGACAAAAAGCGTACGAGTCCCATAATAAGAACATTTTCTTTGAAATGTCGATTTTTGCCCAGGGTCTCATTTGTTAAGGTGTTAAGTCAATTAGAGATCCAAAACACTGTCTCCTTGCACAGCACTGAATTATAGAGGTTAATATAATGTTTTTGTATATAAATGTTCATGTTTATTTGCGTTATCTTTCAGCCATCTGCCTAAAAGTGCCCATATTACGATCCACCAGCTTCAGGATCCAGAGAGAGAAGCGGAGGAGGAGTGAGATGTGCGTTAGGTACGGACATTGCCTGGAGAGACTGTACTGAAAGTGTGTAAAGTTTATATGTTTGTACAGTTTATGTGTTTGCTTTTATTTATTTTTAAACAAGTTTTATGGTTCTAGTTCCTCTGCAAAGGATGTTTTAAAAGCGCAAAGCGTTTGCATAATTTGTGTGATTGTGAAGTGAAGTCCACGCCATTTCATCCAAAGTTCATCTGGTCTTTTATGAAGAAAAAAAAGGAGGCTCGAGGAATAGTTCACCCAAAAATGAAAATTTGCTGGAAGTGTACTCCCCTTCAGGCCATCCAATATGTAGATGAGTTTGTTTCTTCATCAGAACAGATTTAGAGAAATGTAGCATTGCATCACTTGCTCACCAATGGATGCTCTGCAGTGAATGGGTGCCGTCAGAATGAGAGTCCAAACAGCTGATAAAAACATCACAATAATCCACAAGTAATCCACATCACTCCAGTCCATCAGTTAACAGTTGCAAAGTGAAAAGCTGTGTGTTTTTAAGAAACAAATACATTATTAAGAGGTTTTTAACTTCAAACTTAGCTTCAGCTAAAATACGAGTCCTCTGTACATACTGTAATATTGCTTTCTTTAGTAAAAAAGTTGTTTCGTCTGAATCAGGAGAGAAATATGCACAGATCAAGCACAATTTAAAAGCCCAAACAGTTCTAAACAAATATGTGGGTGGATTTTGACATGAGAGGACAACAGGGGATGGACTTTTTCACTGGAGGAAGCATTATTATGGATTATGGACTCATATTTTGACCAGAAGTGACGGTTTGAACCTAAAACACTTTAATGATGGACTCATTTATTACAAGCACACAGCTTTTCACTTCACAAGATATTAACTGATGGACTGGAGTGGTGTGGATTAATTGTGGATTACTGTGTTTTTATCAGCTGTTTGGACTCTCATTCTGACGGCACCCATTCACTGCAGAGCATCCATTGGTGAGCAAGTGATGCAGTGCTACATTTCACCAAATCTGTTCTGATGAAACAAACTCATCTACATCTTGGATGTCCCGAGGGTGAGTGACTTTTCATTTTTGGTAAAATATTCCTTTTCCAGTTTCCAACCATTAGCACCTGCTCATGACAGTTTCAGTATGTTCAGAGTTAGTATTTGTCAGTTTAAACCAGCATCCTCTGTAATAAACCACAATGCTGTTCCTAGATATTGTTAACCATCTGATTTGTGCGCACACACGACCAAGCACCTGCGTTCTGAAAACAACCCATAGATAGTTTATTGATTTTAATCACAATGTCGTCAGTGCAACTGTTACATACCGAGTTGAAGACATGCCACAAATAAAACACAAACCTCATATCACACAATTAAATGACTGCTTCAATTTGGCTTCACCGTATTAGGTACAAATATTTACAGGGCAAACATATACACTATTTATTGGGCAGTTGCATTTTACAAAGATGTGCCTGTTCTCCTCCAAAGGGATTGACGCCATCCTGAGTGTCACAGGATGTGAAAGCGGGAGATCTGGGATGCCATATTTTTTAAGTCTCAGGAGAACATAACATACGGAGGTTACAAAATGTACAGAATAAAATAACTAGGGTACCGGAAGTAATTGTTGCTTCTGAGGGATGCAGCTAAAAACCATGGGTATTGGAGTAGAAATCCTGTTTTACAAAAAACGGTTGAATGAAAATGCAGCACACTAAGAGTAAACGTGTACCAAACCCATTTAGGATAAGGTTTTGTTATAATACCAGGGGAAGCGGATCCATTACTAAACACCCTCCAGGGGAAATTATCTTAAAATGTTATATTGCCCTTTCTGTATTATTACTAAAACGAATTCACAGGCAACCATTCATGCATATGACGATGATACTGCGCAAAGTAAAAAAAGTGTAACACAATAAGAACAATGTCAGCGGTGGTCTTTTAACATTAAGAAAAAGAAACGTTGGTTTTAGACTGGTTATACTGGCTATTACGTCCTCGTATCAGTGCAAAATATGGTGAAACCAGCAGATGCAAATAATGATGGTGGCGGGGCTGGAACGTGTGCCTTACAGAAAGCTTTTACCATACACATCGTACGTCTTTAAGAGGAAACATGCACCCGAGGGAGGACATCTAATGGATAGATGAGTAACAAATGTAAATCTCACACATTAGTATTGTTATTGATACTAACATTTATATAAGGCCTTCCTTGTATTATTCGTCAAGGTTGCCGAAATGAAGAGAGAGTAGGTTTTTACACTTAGGACATGCATGCAAATAACTTACATTTATATTCTCAAGTACAAGCACGTTTGGAAGGAGGGCTGCATAAACCTCTCCGCCCTCCTTAATTTCGAGTATTGAAGTTCAACATTTCATCGTAACATTTAGTGTGACGCGTTTCGGTTCCCAAACTACTGCGTGAAGTACAGCAGTAAACGTAGTGTGTGTGATCGGAAGTATTGCGGCTAGAAATGAAATACGGCGGAGCACTTCACTGACGATGGATGCGTGACTCGTTTGATTTACACGTCTCACATTGTTGCATGTTGGAAATTAAACGGATATAGTCTAAACTCTTTAGCAGTTAACATTCTCATGCATACTAGTTGTTCGATCACAAGAAGAACGTTCATTTAAAAGTAGTCCAAACATGTTACTCTTGTGGAAATGAGAGTGGAAACGGATAACTGGCTCAGTCCGGAGCATGCTAGCATGCGCAGCCTCACTTCTGCATGTCGCACTGCAAGAGCAGTACGATGGACGGGTCGCTCTTGGCGGCTTCTTTGAACTCGTCTAGTGAGATCTGGTCGTCGTTGTTTTTATCCATCTTGCTGAAGATCCGATCCACTCTCTGCTCTGGTGTCAGACCGTCCTCGTTCATCTTCATCATTATCACGGTGCCCACCATTTTATAAATAGCCTTCACACAAAGAAGAGAAAAGACTCGGCTTTAATGACACGAGGAGGCGTTAAGATTCTTACTGAAATGTCATTCTAATTTTTTTTTTTTCCCATTTTGCCATTGGCACTTTCCATAAATATGATACATGTTAATTTTAAATGAAGTTGAAGTGTCTGATTTCTGCGCCACTAGCATCACCAAGCAAATTATGTCCAGGCCCGTTCAGTCATTCAAACATACAGATCGCAATTCTGTTCGATGCCACTAGTGGTGCAGACGTCACACACCTCACCTTTAAACAATTAGATATCAAACTAAAATAATCAATAAATAAAAGCGCTAAAGGAGGAATCTGCAACCTTGTTACTCATTCTGACATATTTTTATTTATTGTATTTATTTTTTTCATATTTATTGCTCAAATATCCAAATTACAGTGTCTCCGTTTAGACGTCCTAAAATAAATAATAAAATAGCAGTTGCAAAATTGCAATAAATAAAATGAGTAGAAAATAAATCAGCTTCACCCTTAAAGCATTTGTAGCCTTTTGTGTTAAGAGAACTATTAGATATAATTAGGGATGCACGATATTATCGGAATCGGCCGATAATGGCTTAAAATGCAAATATCGGCATCTGGCCGATATGAAAAATTATGCCGATATGCCTTGCCGATAATATGAGTAACTCAAATGTGCTCAGGGTGCAATAGCGATAAGATCACGTCAGCAGTGTGGTCATTCTTGAAGCAAACTTTTTCCTGAATGATAATTAGATTCACTGTTTTGAGCATTTAATTTGAGAATGCACGTTCAGAATGACGTTGTCGGGTGTGCAATAGAGTCAACAGTCACTAGGGCATGCAACAGTAGCAGCTGCTGCCTCCCCCGGGTCCTAATGCCCCTCCGGCAAGGCCTTTTATTTACTTGGGGGGCGCTGTTGGCCTACTTGTAATAAAATGAAAGTAAAATACACAAATAACATTAAGATTGTGTTTCTGATTAAATTGAAGTCGATAGTACCGTCACTATTCTTATCAAAGGTCCTGAATGCATGCTGTGCAAACTTCGATGCGTCACCATAAGGGAAGAACTGCAAGGGGGGGGGGGAATGAGATTTCAGTCTGTTAATTAGTTTGTAAATGTTTTGCTTTAAATAATATTGATGGTCTCAATCTTTCACTAAATTAAGCTTAAAGGGGCCATGAACTGAGAAATCAAAATTCTCTTGATCTTTTGACATATACGAGGTCATTGCACTATAAAAACATCCTGTGAGTTTCAGAACTCAAACCTTTCTCTTTAGTCTAAAACCAGCTTATATTGAAGCCAATCTGCCAAAATGACAGGTTTTGGAATGTTCCACTTTATGACGTAATAGTGTGGCTAAACCCCGCCTCCGCAGAAAAAGATCAACGCCTGCTTCGACAGCACTTCCTGTTTAGCTCCGCCCACCGATTCACGCATGTACTGTAAATAACGAGAGAGGCAAACGCAGGTCTACGCAGAAATCAAACCATAAAGATGCTCCGAAGACATTAGGACGCTGTACAGTGCCAAGTTGTGGAAAAACACAGTCTTTGCATCGCCTTTCTTCTGATCACCAAAAATCTTCCTCTCAGCTGCAGTACAAGATTCTTAGTGAATATCAACTTGATGACTTGGTATACTGTATATCACATAACGTACAACTATTTTTATGATGCTATTCAGTCCTTTTTGAAGCTTAAAAAGTTCTTCTTAATGTCTGCCCACATGCGGCTCTGGATTGGTATGAAAGTTAGTAATTAATGACAGCATTTTTAATTTTTGAGTGAACTGTTCCTTTAAGAGGGATTTGTGAACGCTTATTGATTTTCATGTCTGAATTTTCTGCAGCAGCCACAGCAGGTTCTGTTCTTTGCTTCAGGTTCATTCCATGGCAATTCATTAAAAAATAAATGGGCACTGCGCAGTGGGTAGAAGTACATCTAACAGTGTGTTTTCACTGAGGCCCTCACATCTCACTGCGTCACATTCGTTCTATGAATAACATTTCACAGACGGCCGCTTTGACTGTAGTTTGTGCTTCGCTCCAGTAAAATGTGTAACCCTACTGTCTCACGTTAAACATACTATGCCACTCACTTTCCTTTTTAGCCCTCTTCTTTTTTTTATCCTTCTTTTATTAAATCCATATTTTTTTCAAAACATGCATGGTTATTTTCAATAATCCTTAAAGTTGAATTTTATATTTACTGGTTGCTAGGGTGTTCTGAATGGTTGTCAGGTTTTTTTTTTTTTTTTACAGATGTTTTACAGGTGTTTACAGGCTTCAGTCAAAATGGTGAAAAATTCTAATTAAGGACTGACACATATCTCAACATGACACGTGATGGTCCATCCAAAATTGAAAATTCTGTCATAATTTACTCAACCTCATGTCATTTCACACCTGTATGACTTTCTGTCTTCTGCAGAACACAAAAAGCAAAAATTAAAAAAATGTTGACATACAAAATAACATTGCAGCCCATTATACACTGAAAAAAAAATGTTTCATTCATCCAATTAAAAAAAATTAGGGTAATGATTCACATCTATATTTTTTAACTTGAGCCAATGAAAAATAAATAACTTGCCCTTGCCCTTTATATAGAAAAAAATATACATATAAACAGAAGAAAGTCAAACAGGTTTGGAACAACATGAGGGTGAGTAAATAATGACAGAAAATTCATTTTTGGGGGAAGGATCCCTTTAAAACTTAGTAAAAGCCCAGAGTATGTATGCCTCTAGTAATAGTGATGTTTGACTTAGAAAATGCTTGACTAGACTCTCACCTTAACATAGAGCTGCTGGAACTCATCCAGGTTTAGTCGACCGCTGGGACAGTCTTTCAGGAAGCCCTTGTACCATTGCTTGAGCTCATGTTCATTAAACTCTGTGTTCTTCACAAGGTCCTCCATCACCTCAGGGGTCAGTTTGCTGTTCTGTTTTCCCATGATTACTGCATGAGAAAGAAAGAAAGAAATAATATGGTGATATGGAGAAAGAAAGAAATAACATGGTGATAGAAAGTTCTCCAATGTAGCTGTAGTGGTGCTCTAATAAGAGATGCAAACTGTTAATGGATACAGCATCTTTACAGTTATTTTCTGACTGCTGCTCTTCTCCTGAAATGAGAATCTGAGTTGAATTTTAAGCCATCTAGAGGCATTGATCCCAAAATGGAGCAACAACATAAACCGTCATGAAATCATGTTGTTTAATTCGTGGTTGATCACACATTTTAATAATCTGTATCAGCATCAGCCATTAAAAACAGCGTATTGGTAAACCTATTGGTATCTAAGGAGCAGGTTGGCTGATATATGCATAATACAATAATAGCAAATAGTAAGTACACTCTTAAAAATAAAGGTGCTTCACGATGCCATAGAAGAACCTTTTTGTCTAAATGGTTCCATAAAGAACCTTTAACATCTGAAGAACCTTTCTGTTTCACAAAAGGCTCTTTGTGGTGAAAGAAGGAAGGTTCTTCAGATTATAAAAAGGTAAGAAAGAGATGGTTCTTTAAAGAACCTTTGACTAAATGGTTCTTTGCGGACCCAAAAATGGTTCTTCTATGGCATCGCTTGAAGAACCTTTTGAAGCACCTTTATTTTTAAGAGTGTACACTGTAAAAATATTTTTTGAAATTGTTAATAAAGAAAATACTATTTACATTTTTCGACTTCAAAATTTCTTATTTAATTGAATGTTTACTTGTGTTGATTTGTAATCATTTGTGAAATTTACTAGCAATTTTTGAGTGATAATTGTTTCTACACATTTTTTTTCAGAGTACACAAATGCTGAAATAGCACTTCTTATAATCAGAATATTTATTTTAAAAAATCACCCAAATTATTAGAAAATGTGTGCATTGACAAGGCTGTCTGAAGATTTTTAGAAATGACTCTATATCTTGGCAATGTCCACTTGATCTTGACAATGTAGATTTTTAATAATGATAACTTGTTTTTTTATTAGTCAGTAAGGCCAGGACCCAATTGCAAGAAAACCTTTTGAAAAAAAAAATAAAATTAGTTCTAATGAAAAGTGCATTGTCATTTAGGGCAACTGCATGCTAATATTCGGTTACTTTTAAATATGAAATTGAAATGATTGCATCAGCAAATATCTGAGCCGATGGACAATAAACAGAAGTGGTGATTCCACATTCCGTCAGTTCTAAGAACATTATTTGCGACTAACGATTTGGAAATCTCTCATATTCACAGAAAATAGCTTACTCCACATTGCAAAATAAGGTAGATGCATAAAAAAACGGAGCAACATAATGTCATGCATATTAAATTATTTCAAATATGAATGCAAATGTATATTTACAACTAACCCCATAATATAATGCATACAAAGTAGCCTACTAAATGTAAAATTAAGAACACAATGTTGTCAATTGTGATCAGATTGTTGCAAGCAGCCTGGCTGTGTTGTTCTGATCAAAGGCACAAGAGTTTATATGTAAATGGGCATCGGGTAAAATAGGCTACAAACGGGGAGGGGTTGGAGAGGAGCTTTTTATTTCCATGTGGAGCGTCTGTCTTGTGTTTGCAGCCTCTCCTGCATCAAATGTGAGCGTGAAAAACAGAGCAGCCTCGAACACATTTGATAAGAATGCGGCTTTAATTAAAGACAGTCAGGAATTATTACCCACCATCCAATCTCATGTCACTCTTATGTAATAGTGCCGAGGCTTTTTCAAGCACCAGTGGCTGAACGAATGACCTTGAGAAGGGAAACCACTGGGAAGCGATGCAGAATAACGATCTGTGATCTTAAACGGAGGAATTATTGGACTTAATGACGAAGATCTGTTGAAGAGCACAGTGTGAGCATCAGTGCGTTCGCTTTAGATGCCATTTATACATCACGAGCCTTTTGACGTGACAGAATATGGGCAGAATAGATTTGCATATACATATAACGGACCCTACTAACATTTCACATCCCAACTGATCATTTTAATGTGTTTTAGTGATGCACCAATGTGAATTTGGTCCATTCCGACAGAGTCCGCAGAGAAAAGACGCAGTCCCTTTTGCCTTTGCATTGCACTGCGCTCAAATCACATCAAGAATCTCTCAAGTGAAGCTGAGAAACATCAGTGCATCTCTCAAATTCATTACACAACACCAAAGGTTCGTCTCTGAGCAGATCGAGAGTAACAAGCAACCAGTGAGCTTTTGTTGCAATTGTATCATTGGCTGTCAAATGCATCACAGTTTTAATGAAAGCCTAATACACCCTTAACCTGCGCAAAGTGCTCAGATCAGGCCACGTACTAATAATGCATTCGAGTGAACGTTTTCATTCTGTCACTCGTGCATGCATTCATTCATTCACACGTTCACCCATTGACTTCACCCATCGTTTCGCTGCATTAAATGGCAAAAGCACACACACACAAAAAAAGGAACACGCATAAATGTCTCACGGTTACATATGCACGCATGCATCGCCTCTTACCTTCAAGTAACGCGTTAGAGGCTGATGGAAATGCGCTGGTGCTCGCAAGCCGTCCGGAGGCCACGTACTAATAATGCATTCGAGTGAACGTTTTCATTCTGTCACTCGTGCATGCATTCATTCATTCACACGTTCACCCATTGACTTCACCCATCGTTTCGCTGCATTAAATGGCAAAAGCACACACACACAAAAAAAGGAACACGCATAAATGTCTCACGGTTACATATGCACGCATGCATCGCCTCTTACCTTCAAGTAACGCGTTAGAGGCTGATGGAAATGCGCTGGTGCTCGCAAGCCGTCCGGTTTCGCGTGTGTCGAACCCAAATTCCTCGGATTCGTCGCGTTTACTGAACGTCAAATAACGTGTAAAGGTGATTCCAGCTGACACGAGCCCGCTTCCGTCTGTGTGTGTGCGCTATGCGACGCAAGACATGCGGCATGCAGCGAGCATCACCACCACACTGCTGCTCCTCGCGTGCGTTTGCGCAAATTGTATGCTTGCAACCCTGCTCTTAGGGAGCTCATGTCAGTAAACACTATATTAACCATCGTATGCATGCTTTACATGCAAATCTGTTGGTGAACGATCTTTATTACCTATTGCAAATTCTCTATGTTCTGTATCTTTGGGTTCCTAGAGACTCCAGTGCGATATGTGAGGGAATAATAACGTTTTTTTTTTTTTAATCAACATCCTTTACTTCCTATGGAAGCCCGTTTCCGCCACTGAATTAAAAAAGAAAAAAAAAAGGTAATTGCGACTTTTTATCTCACAATTCTGACTTTTTTTTCACAGAATTGTGAGATATAAACTCGCAATTGCGAGTTATAAAGTCAGAATTGCGAGATATAAAGTCAGAATTCTGACTTTTTTTCTCAGAATGAGCCTGGTCTCATGAAAATGCGTATAAATAGTACGCCAAATAAAAACGAAAACTCGTGGTATTGATACGCAAAAATGGACTTTGGCGTGCATATGATACGAAATTTGTTGGCGTGCATATGATACGCAGTTTTCGCGTACATATGATACGCATCTACCCCACAACCCTAAACCTACCCATCGCAGCATATACACGCCAAAGTCCATTTTTGCGTATCTCCTGGTGAGTTTTCGTTTTTATTTGGCGTATGCATGATATAAACTCACAATTGCGAGCTATAAAGTCACAATTGCGAGATAAAAACTGGCAATTCTGACTTTTTTTTCCTCGCAATAGCGAGTTTATATCTCGCAATTCTGACTTTTTTTCTCAGAATTGTGAGATATAAACTCGCAATTGCGAGTTAAAGTCAAATTTTGAGGGGGGAAAAAGACTGATATGTTCTCAGAATTGCGAGTTTATATCCCACAATTCTGATTTTATAACTCGCAATTGCGAGTTTGTATCACGCAATTCTGAGAAAAAAAGTCAGAATTGTGAGATAAAAAGTAGCAATTACCTCTTTTATTTTTTATTCAGTGACGGAAACGGGCTTCCATAACTTCCATTCTCTTTAAATATGTTCATCTGACAGTTAAAATCCAGAAGACAGTATTCTTCTGTTTTAGTATTCTTCACTAAAGCCCCAGCCAACATTTGTGTGTGGGGCCCATGTGGGTTTGACATGGGCTGAAAAAGTGGGCCCAAAATGGGATTGTCCGCGGGTTCCATAATGGCCCAATGTCAATTGCCCACATGGATTTCATGTGGGATTGTACTTGCCAACAGGGCGTGCGCTTTACAGGATTTTTACAATTATTTTAATTGAGAACCAAACATTTTGTACAAACGCTATAACCAAACATGTCAGGGGTGAAAAAGAAACAACAGAAAAACGTATATCCTAAACAACTGCACTTCTTTCAAGTTTTTACTTTAAGACATTGTTTCCAAATACATTAAATGTCAGTTTTAAGTTGTTCAAACAGAAATGTGACTTATCCAATAGCGTTGTTTCAGTTTTGGGTCAGTTCGAGTCCAGCAAAACACTGCAGAAAATTCAGTAAAAGAAATGAAAGTAAACAGCTGGTAAATTGTTTGGTTCGCTCGGAGAACCTTCAAATGCATTTCTGTATGTTTCAGAGACCTCTAATATGTCCATGGGTGTTTGAAATGTTAATTTATCCACTTTATTTTTAAGGTATGAGCGGGTGCGATCATTTTAAACCTGAATGCACACTGCTTCCGGTGTCGTTTTTAGTACAAAACAGGTCGTCATGCTGCTGTATAGTACAAATTGGTATTTATTATCATATTATTTTAATTTATTCTTTCTTTATAACTAGGCTATAAACATACTGGTTTGTAGTGCAAATAGTGTTAATGTTTACATTAAAAAGAAAGACATGAATATGAGGGTTAAAAACCTAAATGAGGCTTTTAGCTCATGAAAAGATTTTCTAGTGATTTTTAGAAGAGATATTGTGTGTGTTGTTTTAAATGGCATCATTTTGAAGGATGGATAAAGAAGGATTTCTTTAATCACTTGCAAACATGGTCTGCTTGCTTTTTGAATCTTGAACTCAACAGCTGCACCAGCCAATTAAGCGGTTGGAAAACTGTTGTATATATAATTTTGCTCACATTAATTTTAATTGGCTTCAGTCTTTCAAGTCAATTTTAGTGGAAACTGGAGGCCTCCCTCTGTTTTGTTAGTCATTTACTCAACCTCATGTCGCTCCAAACATTTTTTTGTGTGAAATAAAACGGGAGTTTCCTAGCTGAACGTCCAAGCTGCTCTTTTCCATGAAGGTTAATGGTGACCACATCTGTCCCTTTAAGGAAATGTCTGATACTGTAACATGCTAAATAACTCTAGTGACATTTGTATCTCTTACAGAATAAGTAATGACTAATGCAGAATGACTAATGCATTTCAAATTAATAATAATATGTTGACCAAATGTTTACTCTGGTGAAAGTTTTCATTTATCAGGATTATTAATGTTTATATACTATGTTGTAGGTATTGTGCTTTCGCTAAATGAACTGAGAGTTTCATATAAATTATAAATAATTTTTTTTTTGGTTCAAAATTTTACATTCACACATTTAGCAGATGCTTTATCCAAGGCGACTTACAACTGAGAAGCATAAGCAATTCATCACATTGTGATAACTTCTAATATGATTTCTCTGGTAAAGCAGAACATCTTTAACCAAAAATGTTTCACAGTTGACATTTTCAGCATTGTGTATCTTTCCAAAGCTGAATAAATGCTGTTGTTGAACTACTTTCCATAATCATATTTTGTATACCAACATGTTTTTTTAAACAGCAATTAATAATTAAGTCAGAAACAACAAGTCAACAAATATGTGAAATTTTCTCTCAATGTGACAGCAGAACTTCAGATTCTCGTTTCAGTCCCAATTATTTGATTGTTGTTTATATCAGTCCTCAAATGCAAAGCATTGCCATCTGTTTCCTGTGAGGGGAAAAAAAAAACAAGATTAAATTTTTAAAAAGTTAAATATCTTATGCATGCAGTAAAAGCTAAAAATGCTTTCTAAACACTTACTTATGAGCATGATGAAGCAGACATCATCCACCGGTCATGTGGACTCTGGAGGTCTGGCATTCTGTGGAGTTAAACATTCTGAGAAAAAAGGGAAGGAATGACGTCTTGCCTTCAGATGTAACACGGCCCATTTTCTGACCATTTATGCTTCTCTTCTTGGTACAGATGAAGCAGGCTTTCCCTTCTTACCTGCTGTGATGTTATGTGAGCAGTGATGCAGGTCGAAGGGCTGCAGCATCATCAGTGACTGGGTGAAACCCGCAGGACGGACGTGAGTGAATCACTGGGGTGCACTGAATATGACGGCGGTGCCTAATGATCCTCAGGATCCGGTGACTCATCTGGGTTTAGTGAAGTCAAGAGGAATCAAGTTTAGTGACGAATACCGTTCTTGAATGATGAATTACATGGGAAACACCATAAAGATCATGTGTGTCAAAGATCAAGTACCACGTTAACATCAGCACATTCACTCATTCATTCATGTCATTTCACATAACTTTCTGTATTCTGTCAGTGGATTCACATGTTGTTTTGACCTCATTGCCTTTCAAAATATCTTTGCTCCACACTGTAAAAAAAATTCCGTAAAATTTACGGTAAAAAACTGTGGTTGCCGGAATTTTACCGTGAAAAATACGGTAGCAACGTTTTAGGTTTTATGGTTTTAACTTAAATTTACAGTTAAATACCGTATTTTCATTAACTGATATAATGTTATATTAACAGTGACAGTGAAGACATTTATAATATTAAAAAATATTTCTGTTTAAATTAAATGCTATTCTTTTAAACTTTCTATGCATAAAAGTATCATAAAAAGTATGACTGAAATATAATTTTCTTATAAAACACAATATTCGAAAAACCTTAAAAATGTTTAATAATGATTATTTATTTTTATGTTTTTATTATTTTTTATAATGATCATTATTTAGATTTTTTTCATTCATAAAAATGTCAGAATACAAAATAAAATCCCAATGGTTCTAAAACAGGCTTTTTTAATTATATAAACAGATAGATAGATAGATAGATAGATAGATAGATAGACAGATAGATAGATAGATAGATAGATAGATAGATTTTTGACTTTTGTTTTTTATTTAGTTTTTGTTGATTAAATGTTGCTATACACAAACAGTGAGACAAACACTCACTATGTAATATGATCATTTTTATGAAGAAGATTTTCTTCCACAATATATTTAAGACTCTTATTAGCCTTCATTAACAAGGCAGTTAATTATAGCTACTGTTGTCCAGTTGCTTTAGATGTATGTATTATTCTTCACCCTCCCCCAAACTGCATGTCTAGATCTATAGGAGCCTGAGACTTCACACATACAGGTTCACTCCTCTTATTAGTATAAAGCATTGAGTGCAGGAGAAGACAAGTGCTTTTGCCATGGATACACACACTTAAACATCCATCTCCCTCACACTGTTCAGCATGAGCCTGCATTAAGGAGCTATGGATACAGAATGAAAGCACTACACATAATCAGATACAACGAGCATGGCTAAAACAAAGATAACCTTCTCACCTTACCTTCCAGTCAAGGGCAAAGAAGGCTATGGTGAAAAATAATGTCAAAAGCATTCAGGAAACCTTCAGTAGAGTTGCTCCTCTCATCATCCACAGCATGTCATGAAGCCAAAGCATGTGTTTCAGTGTTCATGATGCTGCCCAGTTGCCGAGCCTTTCCTTGTTGTCATGGAAACAGGCATCCAGATCCTGGGCTGCTTCCCATCACATGTTCATAAAACATTCTTCCATAAAGCTAATATACTGTTTTAGGAGGATGAGGAGATGGGATTATGGCTAGGCTGCTGGCTGTCATTATATATGTCAACAGTAAGTGTATTATTTAATGAGAGCATCCGGCTTACTCATTATCAAATCCTTCCACACATGGAAAGATCTTACACGGATGCACACATCAGACTAACATGGTTATTATTAGTTGAAGAAACAAAGAAGAAACAGCACTGCATTGAAATGGAAAGAACATAAGATGAAAAGGAAAGAAAAAATACAAACATGTAAACAAAGGACACCTCAATCAGGAAGAATGGTGTCATAGTCCTTAAGAAATGTATTATTATTTAGACATTTTAAGAGATTTTACAGTATTGGAAATCTCAGCAAGAAAGACTCAAATCTATGCAAAGTGTTAAGAAATTTGTTCTTGTGAATAAGAAAGTTAATTATCAGTTCAACAGCATTGGCACTGAAGAATAAAGAAATATATTTTTCAATGAAAAGTTTTAATCACATTTTATAAAAGGAGATAACTTAAAAATTGTCCAATTGTAAGGAATACACATCAGAATTTCCCATTTTCCCCAAAAATACATACATACATACATACATTTGTATGATTACAAATGTACTAAAGATTAGAATAAGTGTGTCCCAAAGCATAGTATGATAAAAAGAGTATGCCAAAAGTCCCCGGATGGTCTACTATTTCAGGTAGATTTTTGAAGTGTGGATCCGTGCATACTCTATTGGCTAATATTGGCCAAAATCCATTGCGCTTTGGTTAAGGATTCGGTTCAGAACTACAAACACGAATAAAACGCGTTAAAAACTACAAACATGGCGGATGTGCTGAACTTGTGGTGTTCTCTTCACGACTTGCCCACCGTTTGATTTGCACTATTAGGATATATACCTAATTTGATTATAGAGTTTTGTGAGTGTTACATTCCCTTAATGTCCCTAGACAAATCAAAGAAGTTTTGGGTCGTAACACTTGATCAGAAACAAACACGGTGCGTTCCAAACAGGATATATCACCCTCCGAAGGGCACTTCGGAGTGAAAACAATCATGGCCGCCATA